CACCGCGCCGCGCCGCGCCGCTCCGCACCGCGTCGCGCGCCACGACACACCGACGAGCAACTACCAGCACGATCAGCACCGACCGCGCGCAGCAGGCCCACACTGACGCATCAATGAGACCGAGCGCACGGACACACTGGCACACACCAGCGAGAACAGCAGTGGCAAGCTACGACTCCGTCTCGCTTCCACCGCAAGCTGTCCTGCCCCCACCGCAGCGCCGTTCTCTACGTCGTTCCCCCTTCCTTCCTCCCCCCACCACCCTCCTCTCTCTCTCACAACGTCCCGCGTGAGTCAAGGGCGTCGACCGACGGGGGCGAGAGAGCGCTCCGCCGTCTCTCCTGGAGTTTGTGGGTTACGAAGAAGAGAGAATCTGTATCTCTCTTTCTCTCTCTCTCTCTCTCTCTCTCTCTCTCTCTTCCCGAAGGCCGTTAAAAAGATTCAATCTACCACTCCACCGGCAGCCGTTTTCGTCGGGGAGTGCCGGACCTCTCCTTCCTATATTTTGTATATCTTGCGGCACACTCGTCATCGATTCGTAGTTTCGATCGTAAATTTTTTGAAATATCGAATAATGTCCGTCAAACTCGACGGCCGTGTTGAAATGTAATTCTTTTGTACTTCTATCGACACTCGCGGCGCCAAGGATCGTTGATTTTTAATCCTATATGATTTTAACGGCTGTTAAAAGTGTAAACTTGAAGTTAAGATTAAGATTAAGAAATTGAAGGTATTCATATTCGAGTCTTATTTCAGGATCGTCTTAAGTAATGTCTTAAGACGCTAATGCAGCCTTCTGATTGGTTCGTGACTTCTTAAGACCGTACTTAAGACAGTCTTGAATATAAGATCTGACGGTCGGTCTGTTTTTTATTGCTGTACTTTCTGAACTTAGTACACACAGTGCAGTAAGTTGAAGTGAAACAAATATAAAAAGTGCAGCAATAAAAAACAGACTTTATGAATACCGGCGTAAGTGTTTTTAATTCAAATCGCGGAATTAACAGTTATTATAATTATGTCTATATTTCTTTTTTTACAGTGTTTAGGCTCCTATTCTGTAATTCTTATTCATCTACAATAGAAGTAATATTGTGTAGTAAATCGTAAGAAATCAACTAATCACAGTCGAATATAAGGAGAATAATTGACTATGGTTGGTCAATTTCTTACAGCTTACGGCTTACTCCTATATTACAATATTATTCCGATTGTATATAGATGGCCCATTCATGACAATAATGACATCATTACACTGTCGTTGCGCAAATCTTATACGAGTCAGAAAAAGCTGGACAACGACGAAATCGTTAAAAGATTGTCCATAATAGGAATAATATGGTGTAGTAAGTTACAGACTACCAACATTACAGTTAAATAGGGATAATAAGCGTCCGTGATTGGTCAATTTCTTACAGCTTACGGCTTACTATCCAATATTACTCCCATTCTAAATGACTTACGAGCTCATGGCAAAGCCAAAAAACTTAAGGCAGTAAAACGTAAGCAGTAAGCAATCAGAATAGAAAACGCAAAATTATCGTCTTACATTTTCTATTGATTGATCGATTCGTTTACTGCTTTACATTTTTTCTACACGTTTCTTTACAGAATAGAGATTTAAAGGATCGCAATGTATGTAAACATTATTAATAAACTATCAAGTCCATTCTACAATTGCGTAAACGAAGTGGTTGCAAGTGATTGCAGTTGTAAGAATTAAGAATATTCTCACATTCATCTGTGATTGATCAACTCTTACAACTACGCTTGCATTACACTACGCAATTGTAGAATGGGCTTCAGTTCCACTCGATTCGAATCAAAGTCACGTTGTATCTATGTATCTCTCAAACCTGACACGGCGATTGTTTATCTGTTTATCACGAGTAACCCAACCGCTCGCGACGAGATCGAGCTGCAGCTCGCCAGCGATTTTCAATCAACGCGGGAATCAATTCGGCGGTACGTACGTACATTAATACGTTGCCCTGTGCGGCGCGTGCGAGAGTAAGTTTCAAAAACTCTTTAGCCGACACCCGTGCTTTGCGTTCGTTCGCTCTCGCTCCCGCTCGCCTCTCCTCGCACTCTCGTGTCACAGATATACCATCCGTGCTCTCTGTTGGCCTGCCACTCGTTGCCTTTGCTCTCCGTCGCGCCAACGTGTTTCTTAATCTTTCGCTCTCTCCGGAGTCCGTCGGGTCGTCCCGCCCGCTCCCCCATTCGTTCGCTCGCTCGCACCCTCGCGGATCCGGCAGACACCGGCGTTGTAGCCGGGAATGCCGAATGTCGGACTGTGGGTGTATATAGACTTACGTGTGTGTACGCGCGCGGGTGAGCTGCGACAGAGAGAGACGGCGCAAGTCAAAGTGGCGGAGAGCGCCGGACAACACGAGTCAACCGGCAACGTAAGTAGAGAGCTCGGCGTGGGTGTAACCGCCGCGAGTGTGTAGGTGGGGAACGGGAGGGGGGGGGGAAGAATGGTAGGCGGTGTGCGGGGGAGAGAGAGAGAGAGAGATGCGCGAGCGAGTGTATGCGTGTGTGCGTGCACACATATGTATACGTATATACATGTGTACATGTGTGTACAGCTGTGTATAAAGCTCGCGCTTACGTACACACGTCATACGTGTGGCGCTCATCATATTACACACCGTTCATGCATCGCGTCCGCCGCCGCGCTGCTTTGAGGAGAGATGAATCCTCGATTCGGTTAAACGCCCGCCAACTGGGGGATGCTCTAAATCAGGGCTGTCTACCTGAGCACACGTACACAGACACGCGAATGCGCGCACACATACGCGGGGTATACGCGTATGTATGTACATACGTACGTTGCGGCCCGGCTTTTCGAAATTCCAATACTCCGCCGAGCGGAGCGAGCGAGATGAGAGCGAGAACGACCGTCGACTATTGCACCGATGCGTTTTCCTGCGCATCTCGTCGCGAGATGTATGTCTTCCTCCGCTGGCGTGATCGATCATGAATAGAAATCGACGGGATGCGATGCCACGATGTTGCATCATGTTTCGCTTCGAAACGGGATAATGGAATCAGAGATATTGAAATTTGTGGAAAACAAAGTTTGAAATAAAGTATTTACCCGTTTCCCTCCCGTGTGTTTCGCGTACAAAGAGACTCGATTGTATAAATTAGTCAAAGAATTCGTAATAGCCTGGGATTATTCCGAAATATTCCGTGAAATTACATAATGATACATTTAAATCGATTCATAAGACGATAACGAAATAAACGTTGACGAAGTTTGGAAAAGTACTCGAGCATATTTGTTTTCCTTCTTGTCTCGTATGTAAGATCTGTAAATTAATTTTGTAGCTGTCTGATATTATTCCGAAAACATTTTATTAAAGTTACGTAATAAATGTAAATTAACGTAGCGGTTCATAAAATGATAACAAAATAAGTAGAATTTGAAAAAATATTTAAACATATTTGTTTTACTTATATAAAAAAAAATTTGTAAATTAATGAAAAAATACGTAACTGAGATTCCGAGAGAATATTTTGTGAAAATAACGTAATAACTTAAATGTAATTCATAAGATAATAACAAAATGAATAAAATTTGAAAAAGTATTTAAGCATATTTGTTTTACTTAGAAAAAAAATTTGACTGTAAATTAATCAAAGAATTCATATAACTGTCAGAAAATTCCGGAAATATTTGGTGAAATAAAAATTACATAATAATATACATAAATATGTGATTCATAAGATGGCAAAATAAATAGAACTTGAAAAAAATATTCCAGCATATTTGTTTTCCATTTTGTTTCGTATATAAAAAAACCTACATTAGAGTTTGTAGTGGAAGCTGGAATTATTCCGTGGAATTACATAATGATGATACATTTAAATGCGGTTCGTAAGACGATAACAAAATAAACGTTGACGAATAAGCAGCGTCAGGAAAACGTCGCTAGCAAGTGTAAATAAGCGAGGTTTATTGGCAAGTATTCCAATGTATCAGATCCGTCGTTTCTAAGCGTTACGATCTGTCATTGCGATTCGCGCAGAATTTCAATCACGAGAGGCTACTCTCGTTCTGCTTTAGCTACAATTGACTCTGTTTATACGTCGAAATTTGATTCAGTTCCATAAAACCGCGTACGTACGTGCTTTTACATGTATTTTATACGAGTATATGTCGCGTTGCGTAAATGTGTGGATTCGTATAAAATTTTCAAATCCTATTTATGCGATGTTACGTAATGGGGACGCCTAAGCGATGTTCGCGGCCGAGCGAATTTCAAGATCGCCGGTTCCGGCACGTTTTGCATTATCGCGTGTTTGCGATGTTTACGCTCAAGAGAGAGAGAGGAGTTAATTCATGTCGAGTGACCGACGATCACGACGGAGTTTCGCGGTCGGTCATCGCGTGTCCGGGACCGAACAAACGATCGCTAATCTACGCGTACGTGATCGCGATGCGGACGCGGCCGCCCGTTCGTCCGTCGACTTATTGGCTGCATTCAGCAGAAAGAGCAGCTTTGTAACTGTTGTAAGATTCCTTAATTAATATAACCCACACTCACAGAGAAAAAGACACAGTGATGGCAACTATAAAATTGACATACAGCTGTACGTAGGATTAATATTTATTGTAATAATTATCTATTATAATTATAATTATTATAATAATTTTATAATTTATATATAGAATTAATGTATACATATAATAGAATAAACTACTTTTTTAATTGCTGCAGTTGTAAAATAGTTTATTCAATTGTGTGCATTAATTTGTTTAGCTATTTACACTCATTCTAAATAAGAAACTTGTGTAGTTATCAGTGTAGTTCATATAATTATCTTACAGCTGCTACCATTGTGTTTTTCTCTGAGTATA